CCCCAAAACCCCAAAACCCCAAAACCCCAAAACCCCTTGAGATCAATAATTTATAGAATTTAAATGTCATCAGATAATGGCTGTGATAATTGCAAAATAGATGGTGTATGACAAAGCAAAGAAAGATGTCAAAGACCTATCTGGCTAGCATCAATAATAGTAGCTGCAATAATTCTCTTAATTGTAACAGCAGTCTTATTACGATATCTTTGAAGACAAAAGAAAGTCAAAGAGGACCTTAAAGAGCTTGTAAAATATAAGTAAAATGATTTAAAAAGGCAGGAGCCAAAAATAAGAGTACACCTCGAAATCTACATTCCCAATTTAATAGTCAAAGTATTGAAAATGAAGTACATCATAGTACAATCCTAAACAGGACACATAATGAATTAATGCTTACAGGGAAAGGAAAAGAAAGACCGAGGGATATCCCTACCATTTTTGAAGACAATGAGCAAATAAACATCGGCCAGACTTACGAAAACAGGAATACAATATTATGATTCGAAAACCAGGGAGAACTCAACACAATCCAGACCTCTAAAATGTATAACTCAGATATTCTCTTCACTAATCCAAAATTTGGACATCCGAGGATAAAACCTTGGGCAAAGCATCCTACAAAGAAGGGTGTGAAAATACTCAATGAGGACTTAAAAATATTCGAAAAAGGTATGCATTGTTGAAAAGTTTTGGCCAAAATTACTAATCTAACTATTCATGTGTAGAGAGCAGAGAAGAGAGTAAGCATCGCTCTGATCAAACTCTGAGCGAGCTCCATCATTCAAATGAAGTAAGTGAGTTGGTTGAGGAATAGGATTACAATCACATGTGAATGATAAACGTGGATAGATCAAATAACATTTTCGAAAGAAGAGAGTCTTTACACTCAGACTTGGAGGAAAATAAGTCCAGAATAGTAACTCAAGAACTAATTTTTAGTAACTAAGAAAGTCATTAGAAGAAGACAAAGGAAAATAAAAGAAACACCTCTTAAGAGCTCACCAAGGACTGGAGAGAATATGAACGCAGGAGCTACGGAGGAGCACCAACACACAGAGTAAGTGTCGGAATCTGGATGATACAATTTGTTTTAAAGCCTATATTCAAACTTTTATAGAGAGCATCCCATTTCTGCTCAAGCAGGAGAAGAAAGTATTAGCATCAATCTTGCAAAGAAGGTGAATGCTAATAATAAGATCCGGAAGAAATTTACAGGAAGACATCAAAATCAGCATCCACAAAAAGTGGATAGGATTGATCTGAGACATAACTCCTCAATTTCAGAACTTCTTAAGACGACCAGTAATCATATAATAAGAGAGACTGAGCAAGAGTACATTTCTACAGATAAAATACAACCTTTTGAATTTGAATTTAGTCAACACAATGTCAATGATACAGTTGACAATCATACCAAAGGACAATACATTGAGCCTAAAACCATTGGTAAGACTCTAAAGACTATCTCTTAAATCTATTTAAACCTATAAGAGCGATTAAATTTTATCTTCAGCTTAAATTCATCATAGATGAAAACTTAATTTTATAGGAGGAAAAGCTATCAAAAGGATGCAGAAAATAGAATCTAATGAGCCTGAGAATAACGAGAGCCTCTCCCAAAGAATTCAATCAAGAGAAGTCGCAGTCAGCACCTCTAGTATCAACATCACTGATATAAAAGAGAAAGGAGTCATGCCAAAAAGAGATAAAATTACTAAAATCAATCAAGAAATTTAATTATTGTATAATTTTCAATTTTTTAAAATAACTTAGGGGTTTTGGGGTTTTGGGGTTTTGGGGTTTTGGGG